TATGACCAGTTGCAGTTCTTGGAGGACAATGTCTGAAGATCTAGTCTTGCTGGACCTACTTTAGAACGGGCATAGAGTGAATATCGTGTGGAGCAGGAAAGCACATTTCTCCTCATTGCCCGTTGATGCTCAGCGTTTGTTCACATGCTGGCCCAATAACATGAACTTGAAGTATCGCCTCAAAAGATAAAGATCATTTTTTTTCATGAGTACAGGATGAATACCGGAGAAGGTCACAGCTTGGCCAAAGTTCTAAAAGCCTGCTTTGTTGGAGAACTGTTTAGGAATAGGGGTCAAAATTCAGCATTGACCAGAAGCAACATGTGGCACTTGAGCCGTGGCTGCCTTGTGCTTGCAAGTTCCTGTTGTGGAGTAGTGTCTGGCTGTGTCTTGGGAGTGCAAGCCTCCCACAGTTGGAGTGCTGATGTTTGGCCTTCCTTTCACGTAATTAAGCATTGTATAAGGAGAGGATAATCCCAATTTATCAGAAGAGCCTCCAAGCAACAGAGAGATGCAACTATCTGCAGGATCCAAGGCAGCCGGTCTGACACTGTGTATCAAAATGTCTCTTCATCATTCGTATACATCATTTTTTATTTTTTTTCTAAACACGTTGTACAAGCCACTGGTTGTTTTAACAATTTACTTTATTTTTTATTTTGTATGTGTACAGTCAGCCAGATGTAAAGGGACAGTATCACCTCATAAGAAAAATGTATAATTTACATTCACAGCTGTAAAATCTCCTATGTTTGCTCAAAACCCCTGGACACTGTAACACCTAAATTAGGAATTTGCAAGCACGAAGATCCTAATTTCTCTCCCATTTACGTTCAGAAACTCTAAACATAAAAAAGTAGTACTGTCTTTAACGCCAAGAACCATGACGCAAGTCGGTTTTACATGTTCTTCTCTTTAGAATTTTCTTTGTTCCTGTGCAGACTGACTAGTCTAGTTGTAATGATTGTATTTACATTTATTTATTGGCAAAACAATCCATTCACTAAATTGACAGCTTGGAATTAAAAAGGGAATTTGAAATTAATCTCAAATTTAAGGCCATAATAGCTAAACTGAAACTATTGTTTGTCACCTATGCTTCCAGATCAGCTATTATGGCCTTACGTTTGGAATTCACTTTGAATTCCCAACAATTCTTTAGTGAATAACCCTGCTTAAAGGGAACACTATAGTGATCAAAACAACTTTAGCTTAATAAAGCAGTTTTGAAGTATAGATCACGACACTGCAGTCTCACTGCTCAATTTTCTGCCATTTTGAAGTTAAATCACTTAGTTTATGCAGCCCTAGCCACACCTCCCTGCATGTGAGTTGCACAGCCTTCCTAAACACTTCCTGTTAAGAGAGACCTAATGTTTAAACTTCCTTTATTGAACATTCTATTGAATCTAGAATCTCCAGCTATGTTAATATCCTGATAGATTTTGCAGGAGACTCCTGCATGTGATTAAAGCTCAAGTTACAGAGCAGGAGATAACTTACAAAGCAAGTTAACATCTGATTGAAAATGAAACCATTTTCTTTCTTTTTTTTTCTTTTCATACAGACTGTGTCAGTCACAGACAGGGGAGGTGCGGCTAGGGCTGCATAAACAGAAACAAAGTGATTTAACTCTTAAATGGCAGAGAATTGAGCAGCGAGGCTGCAAGGACATGATTTATTCACTCAAACTGCTTCATTAAGCTAAAGTTGATTTGGTGACCATAATGTCCCTTTAAATCCACATCTAGCGCCATTTGTTACTTTTACTGAGCTTTATTCACTAAACTGTTTAGAGAATTAATACTGGTTGAAAATTCAGTTTCAAGGCGAAATATCCCTGGGTTGTAGCACCCACTTTGAATGAATGTCTGCTGTTCGATTTTTGCCATATTCATGCGACGAAGTATTTTTAGAAGAGGTTTTACAGCTCTATGCTTTAAAGCATTTTGGTTTTACATCACATTATGTTTAGATGTAAATGATTTTTTTTTTTTTTAATTTAGTTGGAATGGGGTGATATATATTCCCTTTTACATTTTCAGTGCCAGTAGGATAAGGCACAGGTGTTTTTTTTCACTAAATGTCGAATAGTGACGAATTCAAAAAAACCAAATTGCAAAACTGGCCAACCTGTGGCTGCAGCCGCGCTGCTTTTGCTTAAATTTTGCAATTTGGCTTTACATTCAGTAAAATTAATTTATTCCGGCAATAAACTCCAGTGTCTTCTCGGCCCTCTGACAGTGAAAGTGTGTGAGAATGCATGATATACGGCCACACATGTTTATCTTGAAATATGAGTGAGTTTGTATTGTGCGTGCGCACTCTAGTATTGGAAGTTATAATAAAAATAACGAGGGCAAAAATGTTTATTCACTAAAGCAGAAATTATTGAGAATCAACGAGGGAACTGCAAGTGTCAGGCCAATGGAGGTTTCTTGAAAAATCTCTCAGATTTTCCCATTTTGGGCCTAAAATGAGTAATTCCCTTTATCAAGTTTCCCCCAAAAAAATGAAATTTACTAAGATTGCGATCTTATGTTCTCTCCTTGATCCCAAGTCCTACAGGTGGGCATTTATCAGCGGTTTACCCTTTTACGTTCAGTTATATGTCTTCTCCAATTGCGATTTTACACCAGTGAGATTTATTCACTAAGAATTGATGTTGACTACAGGGTTGCAAAATTCAGGCCAGATTAACATTGTTGACTGAATTAATTCCTTATACTGTGGTTCTGGGCACACATGAATGCCATTATTGGACACGTGATATGCAATCACAGGCCAGCGGCCCTCCCCTGTCTCTGACCTATCAAACAAAAATCAATTCCAACACGTTCTGCTCTTACACTGACAAATTGTGTCCAAATTCAGTAATCAATACAATTTGCCCATTTGTGCTGCTGGCCTACTTTAGTCTTGCACGCTGCACCCCGAGATTACAATTCTACCATAACTATGCCTTTACCTGCAAACAATTGTGCGTTTGTATTGAATTACATATAAAAATATTATGTACACATACATGCACACCAATACAGTGTGTGTATTTATGGGATTGCGTGTGCATGTGTGTTATACATGTGTGTACCATTTATTTGTAACAATATTTTTTTTTTTTTTTTTTTTTCTTCTTTCTACATTACTAGACATAAAATCCTTTCTGTTTTTTCTGTTAGATAATCACACAATTCATTGTAATATCCTTTGGGTGTTTTCTATTTATGAAAAAAAAGTGTTGTAAAAATAAAACCTATATAAATATATATATAAATACACTATAATAAGTCTCCTGTTTGATTCTGTGTAACCCATTGTTACTTTCCACATTATATTTTATTATATTGCTGCTCCCCGGGGCTGTGTTTTTTTTTTTTTTTGGAGGGGGGGGGGGGGTTTATGTCTATACAGGGTTATCCCCTAAACTCTGAATTGCAGTGAACCAATTGTACGCTAAAGTGGTTTAGTTAAAGAATTTTTTCAGATCTGTTATTTGTGCCTAAAATGTGTCATGCAGATTTTTAAATTCACTACAATTCAGACATAAGTGAATACCTGTGTGTAGGGTAATCTAGATCAAAGATTCGAGTGCCAGTAGTGGTACCTGTTGAAACATAATTTCGATTTGCCATCAGGAATATATATACTCTGCAATTAAAAATGGCAAACTCTGCTCACAGAGCCTGTAATTCTATCGGGCAGTTCTATCTATTGCCAAACCAGACCAGAAAAATAAAATCACCTTAGACATAACTGGTTAATCCCTCAATCTCAGACTGGTAGGGGTGCCTTGAGGACTGGTATGGGAACCACTGCATAAAACTGGCAGGGCCTTCTCTTATAAAGTTTATTTGTGAACAAACTACATGCATTATGTAATTATGAGGCAAAACAGAAAATCAATCAGTGTATTATTCAGGAATGTTAGCACTGCTGTATTTTTGTTAAAAAATGCTATTTGTTATTAAAAAGAAATGTAAAAGGTTCCCAATACATATTTTCTGCCTGTCTGTTTTGCTGTATGCTGCAGGCAGAGCCCAACCATCTCGCTATATCCCAGTGTTGGCAGCATTTATGGCTGTGACCCATCATATTTTTGGGGGGCCATACATCGTTATCCTGATTCTCTGTACGTGAAATGCACTGCCTGCATTATGTAAAATCCACATCCTGCAGGGAGAGAAATCAACGTGTTGACCAATAAAGGAACTGCCTTGACTGGTTCATTGACTTAGCTCATGTAGCTTATGAATTCATTATATTATAAGGCAGTGCTTTCCATGTCCTGCCCATCAGGAGGCATCCAAGTCGTGGAAGACTAGGTCGATCAGGTAGTTCTCTCTGTGAGAGCAGGACGTTTGAGTCTCTATAGGATGCTAGATAGATCGGGTTGTCTGGTACATCATGTTCTGGGCACACATTTATACATCATAAGAAAAGTGCTATAGGAGGGTACTCAATTCACTAGTCACTGAGGAATACTGTAGCATGTGAATGCTACATACTATAGGACAACACGTTTCGAGAACTGCAAACATGAAGACATTAAGTGTCCATAAAACATACTGAATCTGGCAGCTTGATGGGGTTTTCTTTTTTTGACATTTTGTCATTTAAGTTTTATTTTTGAGTTTGGTGAATATATTTAAACATGGGAGGCTCCATTCTTCCATCAAACTCGTACATTTTTTTTTTTTTTATTCTTTATTTTTGTTCGTGCATAAGGTTAACATGCGAATTTGCACTGCCACAATAGCTGGTGCACTCAAATTTGCATACACGCTTAGTCACATGGCGTTAATGACATTGCACTTTTTTAGTAGTTATATAAACAGGATAATTTCTCACGCTTATAAAGACAAGTGAAAGTAGTATTTTGATTCACAGATATATGTCACTTTGTAGTCATAGTAAGATTAACGGTTAAGCTGGGACATTGCATTACAGAGCATAGTTTTACACTTTTAGCTTTGCGTTGGATTGTACTGTGTCATGCCCTTGGTACATTCTGTGCTGTGATTTGTAATTATGCCCTGCTAGGCAAAAGAAACATAAACACAAAGAGCCGTCTCATATGGTCAGTGGCACTAGGTTGAGTAATGCCTATTGAGAGATAAAGAGCTTAGATTTTACCAGTGAGACTAACTGGGTGCTTGACAACTGAAGACAAGCATGCAAGATGGTCCGAGGGGACACACGAGGACTATATTAGCCGTGTAGTTTAAATGCTTTGCTGAATATGGAAGTGGGCCAGCTGGGGTAGACTATATTCAGCCTGACCGGAGCAAACCTAAATCCCCCCTGCATTTATGGTAGGGTCACTTAAGGTCATGGTTAATGTATGATTGGGGGTTGATAGTCTGCCGGGCTTAAGTTGGTAGAGTAAAGTTGAGGTGCTATATATTTTGCATATGGCAGGGTCCCAGGTGATATCCTAAGAAGCTGCCTCGCCTACCATTTGGGATTCCCGTATACATTTCTAGGTAACAGAGGAGTAGCTTTGGGGCGCTTGCTAAGGAGGCGAGCGTTAGTATGTTATCCATCGCTTACTACACCACATATGGAACTCAGTATAGAATCTAATTTTAAAGAAATAAAGGCTGCATATTATGTAACATTGCTTTTCCTGCTAAATAGGCTGCTGTTTTGCTGAAATTCAGTAATAGCGTATTTTAGACGAAAAAGTTAACCATCAGTGTAATGCCTTATATGATTAGGTTCAAGTTGCTATCTCAAGTTATGCTGGTCTAATGCTATGCCGTATAGGCTGTCACATAATAAAAAAATAAAAAAAAAAGCAAAGGCAAAAACTCTGTAGGAATTAATGTAAAATGAAAATAATAACAGGTTAAAGGCTATTACTATACATTTTTCTAGCCTGTAAAATGCAGGTCTTATGTTATGAGGTATGGTGAGAGAGTTCAATTGTAGCGAGGTGTGCGCCTGGCAGGCTCCGTTCGTGTGCAGCTGCTCAGCCGATCCCCTCCGAGTGCCTAGTACAGTCCCTGGGGAGATTGGCAAGAGAGGGCCCAAAGTAAGGGTTACAATTCAGCATGGTTTCAAGTGTTGCAGCGTGGCGGTGGCAGACGTCTCAGGTATCCCGGGAACCTGCAGCAAATGTCCTCTTCTAGCTGTAGGTTACGTTGCCGATGGATTTCAGCTGCGGCATGAAGAGTTCATAGGTGCTGTTGCCCCCTTGTGGTTGGGCTGTCATCAGACGCTGCAGCCCTGTTGTAAAGGTGTATCAGGCAGAAATCCCTCAATAAAGTGTCACCTCCTGCCGGGTCTGCCCGCAAGTTCTTTGAAGGGGGAGCAGTGTGGGCTACTTCTGAGCCTCGTTGCCTGTTTTGGTAAGTAGCCTGTAGTGGATTCGGTTTTGGCGCCATCACATATGGCCTCCGCCATCTTGACTGCTGTGTCTTGGTGTCGGAGCAGGGCGGCCCTGCTGCTGCGCCCTGGGTGGTCGGGGCGTGCGGGGATGAGGACCGGGATCACCCCCCCGGTCCAGAGGGGGGGAGGGGGGCCATTTCCCAACGGGTCTGGCCTTGGCTGAGCACCGATGGGCGGGATAGTGGGGCAGCGGCCGTCTGCTCCACTCACCGCCGGAGTAGGCCTCGTTTGCGCCAGTGAGGATTCTTCCTCCAGGGGACTGAAACCAGGCAGGCCAGCCTCACCCTGGGTCCGGTACTCTCCACCTGATGAGATCCACCGCAGCTGGTCGGCTTTTTATGCCAAAAGTCTGGTTTTCATGCTTATTTTGTTTTAAGTTTCAGGAGCTGGTCTGACATGCGACCATCTTGCTTGGCGGCCTGGCCCCGCCCCCAAAAACTCGTACATTTGTGCTGCTAAACCTATGTCTTGGTTTGTTCAGTGGAGGAAGTGTAAAGAATTTATAAGTTAGGAGTCATTTGATTATAGAGAGAAACTAGTATTCGTGGCCTAGGTCAGACATTGTTCTTTTTCCCATCCTCGATATAATAACATAGAAAGGACTTATCTGAGTGTAGCTGCGGGCAGCGACAGGTTAAGTGTGTTTGATGGAATGCATGCAGCCATAGAGGAGAACGTGTCTGGGCACGCCTGGGTGACAGCGCACTTTATGTCACTGCCAGTCACGCTGCCCTGGGAAATGTTGGGGTGGGGAGGTCGGCTAGGCAGGGCACCGGGCAAGTCTGTTCTTGCCTCAAAATTCCTGGTAAAGAGTAAGAAGGGTTAAAAACCTGCAGAACCTGCTTTTTGGAACGTGGTGGAGTTAATCGGACTGGATGGATCACTAAAAGATTTTTCAGCAAAATACCAGGAAGTAAAAGATTAAAGGGACTCCTAAACAATGCGTACAGGGAGTGAAGAGAATTACAAAATACAGAGTTTTAACTCCTTAAGGACCAAACTTCTGGAATAAAAGGGAATCATGACATGTCACACATGTCATGTGTCTTTAAGGGGTTAAAGCAGGGCTAAAGAACTGTGGAACTTTCATATGTAGAGTTGGGGTTGCCATATCTTCTGCTTTCCTGGACCGGTATCACTTTGTTACATGCGGGCACTCGCAGCTCCAGGATTTTCAAAGAAAGTTCGTATTGGAGGAATAGGGGAGGGCTTTCAATGGCTGCAGACAACAGGTCTGCAGCTTCTGCAAGCTGTTTTTTCATAAACCCCCAATGTAAACATGCAGAAGAAAATAAATACATCAACCCATCAGTATGGCAATACTATGTGTATCCAGGACGATAAAGTGGATCTGGTAACTCTCTGTAGGGCAAAATAATGGTCTTAGAGGCAAACGTTTATAGAGTTTTATGGGTGTTGTAGTCCCACCATCTGGACAGCCACAGTTTAACAATGCAGCATTAAAACTCCACGTTTTCTATTGTTTCTCCTTAATGATATTGAGGGGACTTGACAGAAGAGCTTCATTTTCTGTGTTACTAAGGCAAGGACTGCTAAATTCACACGGTTTTCCCCATGTTTTGTTTTTTTTGCATTTTTTTACATAAATGAAAAGAACGTCAATAACCGCATTGTTTTTGTTTCTCAGTGTTCCCGAGATTCTATGCGTCATAGCTTCATACATGCATGTGGTATTTAAGGACTACAGTACCATTGATAGGGTTGGTGGGGCAGTGCCTTGCAATTTATAGCAGTGGTTAAAACATGCATAGCAATGGTGCGGGCTTGTACCACGATAGTGTCCAGGAACATTCCTAATGGGGAGGTCTATATTGGTAAGTGACAGAACGAAAGACAGGATATGCTTCCAGAACCATCCAAGGGTCCAACATTGCCAGAAGACATGGGAGGTAGATCCCATGTCCACACAGCATCACTTGCATTGCGCAGATGTGTGGGGGAACATATGGTCCAATCTCTGCGGCACTAGATCCCATCTGATAAGGAGTTTGCAGCATGTTTCCCTGTGCCATTTAATAAGTGACAACTCCCCCCCAGTTCCTGCTCCCATTTCACCATATAGAGTAGTTCTGAGTGATGCGTGTATATGGGCCAATGAATAGTAACATGTGGCCAGTGGTTACTTATTACTTTGTATACCTATACACATTTTAGGGACAGCTTGAGATATGTCTCGGTCTTGTAAGGGCAATTTCCATAAGTAAAATGTGTTTGACTCTGAGATATAAAAATATCTCCCTGGATGGTAGGAGGAACTTTGTCTTAAGTTCTAGAAATTACTTGGTGTGAGAGTAAGATGTAAGTTATTGGACCTGTGTTATACCTGCTATCAACCACTGCTTAAGGTTGGGGTCTGGTGAGTACATTGGACAGTAGTTAACCATAGGTACCATCTGTGCCATGTAGACAGGGAGAAAATAGTGGATTGGAGCTCTTTAATGTAGGAGGGCGCACATGTGGTGACCGTGAGGCCCACATCAGTTGGTGAATGGAAATTCAAAATGTTGTTGTCTCACATCTCCATGGAGATTGGCAGTAAATGAATGTGCTGTACTGCGGTATACATCATTCATATGCATCAGGATTAATAATGTCTTGTTTTCCTTCCTGCAGCATTTGAATGCTACATTCTACAAGGCATCCCTTATTTTTTTGATCTGCCCCATCAAGATGTAAAAGTAATATGTTTTGGTGACCCTGGTGTTGGGTATGGCGACTCTACATATCTCCTAGCATTAAGCACATCAGGCTGCATTGACCTGATGAAAGTTTCCAGTGCCAGATTTAACAACATTATTGGGTGTAGACATAGACAGGCCTACTTTGTGCATTGTTGACAAATAAGCTAATTTGGCTTAACGTTTATGTTAGTCCCAGTGTAATATAATAAGTAAAATTAAATGGGAATTGTGGAAAATTGAAGAATAAACTGGAAAACATCAGATATTTTGACCTAAAAGGCCTGTTTGTGAATAAGCCTCACTGTTACTACATTGTTGTTGTGTTTGAGTAAGGACGCAAAAACAGAGCCATGCTCCAATGACTCAGTGGTAAAAGATTCATAAATTAATAATCTGCAGGGATTAAAGAGTAAAGTGGAATAATCCCAGGAAGGTTTCCAGAAAAGTTTACCTAACTGTAATGTTTACTTTTTTATATCGTCCCCTCACATGCCAAGCGTATGCTGTGTGCGTTAGTGACATGTACAGAGTACCAGATCCACCGTGTTTTCATGTATCCCTGCCTTATGTTAATGGAGAGTAATCATACTTGTGTATGAAGCATTCATAGGCTTTTGAATTAATAATTAGTGACTTGACTTCCTACCTGCGGCACATGAATTCTCTATATTGCTATAGCAAGGAAGGCTGCTTTATATATATATGTATATATATATGTATATATATATATATATTCTACTATATTTATAAATATAGTAGAATTCATATCCTGCGGGAAGAGAAATCGAACCCAAATGACCCTCCTTACCAGAACATGTACAGCTGATAGAAAAGATATTGCTTTAAATTGGTTTGGCAAGAGCAGGGTTAATTCCCCTCCCAGACACCTGAGATCCTGACCATTGACAGATAAGGTTACCTGTTTTGTTCAGTCAAATGAAACACAAGGAAAGGGATTATAAAATAACTGTTATATCGTTGCAGCAAACACCTGTTCTTTAGGTAAGGAAGGGCAAACCGCAGCTTTAGAGACACATGTGGGTCTGGTTCTGTCCGATCTAATACTACTACTCTCCTACCCAGTCTTTACAATGACCCCTGGTTCACTCCCAGATTGAGAGATGGAATAAGATGTAATAGTTATTTGATCAACTCTAGTGTTCTTCAGTCACGTGCTCCAAGACTGTGGGATTTATTTGCCAAACTCCAAATTGAAATGTGAATTCTGATTCTGACAATTTGGAGTCATGTGAACTACCTTATATGATCTCCTATGAGAATATTGGCCTGTTGAGCAATAGCAATGAAGAAATTTTTCCAGACTTTGTACGAATTCCTCACTCTGTGTTGCAGGGCTTGGAAGTGCTGGCTAGCAGTATGTGGAATACTATTAACGAATCATAATAATTCATTTTGTGTACCTGCCAAATGTCCTGAATTCATTGGGACAGTCCTGATATTTTGGGCCTTTGTCCTGCTGAGTCACATTAAAGGGACAGTACAGACAGTATACTTCCTTGAAGCTATGGGCAAATCCCAGTTGAAACTGTCAGTGGGACAGGGCTAGTCACGAAAATCCAACTACGGCAACTGAATTGCAAATTACAAAAATGTGATAAACTATCCAGGTCGTGACTATTGTGGAGAAGGATAATTTTTCCAGATCAGCTATTTTATTTTGGTCTAATTTTTCAATTTCTTATTTAAATTCTGTACAAATTGTACATTAGTGAATAAACTCCTTGCAAATCCCAGTGATTATGACAATGTTAGTCCAACTGGATTTGGCAAGGACTCAATTCTGCAGTGAGATAGGTATATATTAGGGTTTGTGAGCGCTTAACAGGTGTGGGATACACAGACGCAAAAGAGGAATGGATCTGTGAGTTTCACTATAAATAATTCACACGGTCTTAGAATATTTATAGCGGCTGGTACTTTGTCTCCTCACGGGTTGCGTGTTACAAGGAGGGTGACACTAAGACCAAAGACTGGTCTATGAAGAAAAGAACTGCGAGAGTCAGATAGTAAAACATTACAAAATTAGATATATCTAGAAAATCTGTCCAGAAACACCAGATGCCATTCATTGGTTCTGGTACAAAACCAGTTAATAAAACCAGTGGCCATAGTACGTAGTGGTGAAGGATTGGATGCTGGGCATTAAAGATGGAGGAAGGTGTAATATATGTTGAGATACGCCTAGACACTAGAATTGAAGGAGTTAATTTGAAGTGGGAGCTTGTAAATCTGACGCAAGTGTAAAATAGTGCAATCAGGAAGGTGACGGACATTTTGAAGGCACAGTCATGTGTCAACAGTGTAGCAGCAAAAAGGTGAACGAACCCACAAGGGCAGACCACATCCAAAATGCAGGAGAGATACGGCAACCCCTGACTACTGTTTCAGCCTCCTTTGGGTCTCATTAGTGAGATGCAGCTGATACCCCTCCAGGCACAGTGAGTAAAGGTACATCTGGATTACCCCTGGATTTAGGGAGGGTCAAGGCAGTTGTAATCCCGTACGCAAACTAAGGACAAACAGAATCCAGTGGTATTAGCAGGTTGGCAGGGCCTGACGTATAACAGTAAAGAGTACAGTTTGCAAGCAGACAAAGCCAAAACATGTTCAGGTCAAGGGATAAAGATATACAAGACAAGTGAAGACCACTGTGGCATTAAAAAAAAAAGATGTGAGTATCAAGGCATATGTAAGAAAAGCAAGGTGGAGTGGTACAAATCGAAAAGGACGCCAGATTGATGTATGGCATACGTTTACAGCGACATGCACATGGCACAGGGGCTGAGACAGGGAGACCCTAAAAAATTTATTTAAGTCCAAACAGAACGGTAAAAGCTCTCATAACTTGCCCTTAGTTTAGTCCCCTCTACAGTTATTAACTTTAACCCTCACTTCCCCCCCCCTCCCCCCCCCATGCTGTTATTTTGGCTAATAATCTTGCAATTTAGAGAGATTGTTAACTAAACCTCAAGTTGTAGCAAAATGAAATCTGAATTGACAAATAAAAGCTAAAATAGCCAGTCTGTGCCTAGAACTGTTGAAGAATTTAAGAGTTTCCTGTTATATTTGCCTACAGTCTGTAAATTTCAATTCAATACCCTTTGGGCACCCCTGATTTAGAGTTTAGAGTAATAAACCCCATAGTTGTCAACTCAATCATTAGCGAATAAATCCTTGGGATTTTAACATTGCTTCCTGCGGGTACACACGATATTAATGTATTTTTAATAAAATCCTGTAATGCAGACCAGATAGCTGACAAAAGGTAATACAACTCCCATGGTGCCTTGCAAGCCACAAATTGAGAATTATCATTATACTTCATCTAGGGACCTACCTTTTGGCCACCCCTGATGTAAAAGCTTGCATGTGTGATGCTGTGTTAATGCATAAGGGGAAACGGCAGACTGATTATTATTATATCTCATTAACATCACTTAGGAGAGATAACCTACAACCTGCGGTCCTGACAGGTCTGATCTCCCACAGATTTTAATTAATCTGGGGTCAATGAGGTCACACTGGGACCCATTGCACTCCCTCCCATTGATTTGCCTTCTGTACCTACATTCCTTCCTCCCTGTGTGTAATTAACCCACCTGTAACTGAGACTCTGCCTGAAATAATTAGCAGACATCCGCTGAGAGAAATGATCACACAGCAATCTAGTGTTACACTGGGAAACTCGCACTCCGTAATAACCCATTGATGTTCTGCCTCCCAAAGCACACACAGGGATTGATTCACTAAACCACAAATCGTGGAGGATTGACGAGAGAATCGCAAATTTTAAATGAAAATTGCAGAACTGCATATCTTGACCCAAAGGTTGCAATTCCCTTGTCAATTAAAGGGACACTATAGGCACCCAGACCCATAGATCTCATTGAAGTGGTCTGGATGCAGTGCCCCTGTCTTCTTAGTCCTGCTATGTGAAACACTGTAGTTTCGGAGAAACTGGAATGTTCATATTGCAGGGTGGCTATTTACCAGATAGCCACTAGAGGCGCTTCCTGCCGTTTCACAGTTTGACTCTGTGAAACAAAGCTGGACATTCAGCGTCTTCACATCCCCCATAGGAAAACGTTGATTTAATACTTTCCTAGGGGGACGGCCTAATGCATGCGCGGTCCTTGTCGTGCACGTACATTAGGTTCCCCCTCTGCGCTGATGTCGGAGGAGGCTGCGGCGGCTCCAGTCCCTCGGGACTTTGGTGCTAGAATATGATGAGTGAAAGAAAAGGTTATTTAACCATTTTAGTGCCGCATGGGGACAGGGGGACGGGGGCAACTTTGTATACTATAGTGTTTCTTTTATGCATGGGTAATATAAGAAAAAAAAAGATTGTTCTAAATTGAAATCTGATGTATGCTTATATAACCAAATAACTGGAATAAGAAATGAATTGAAGAATTTATCGAACTCTGCCATTTTGGACTAAGTTTTGAAAGTAGATTTTCATTTAGTTAAAATAAACACTTATATATTAGATATGGGAACAGATCCAAATCAACAAATATAAATTTTTTGGTTTAAGTAAAAAAGGGTGTTGTTTAAAGTTGGATGGCAGTAGTGCCATCATTTGAAAACAAAGACAGTGATGGGTAACCTTTAATTGAAGAGTTCTTTATAATCATACATTTTATAAAGTGTAGTTGCTTAAAAGGAAACTGTCATCTTTTTGTGTGTTATATTGTAATGCACATACATAAGTAAATATGGCAGCAGCCACGTTGAGTCCTCTTGTTTGGAACCATTGCTTATCCAACCAAAAACACAGCCAATAATTAAGAACTAGTGTGTTTTCAGATCATCGAATTATGCATTAACAGATCTGACAAAAGAAGGCTAAACATGATTTTCTCCCAGCCTCCTAAATAAATAAGAGTCTGACTCAGTTTAGCTTTATGTAATTTATTTTATTTTCCACAGTCATGGCCTACAATCTAGGCTTAGTGCTCAAAACAGATTTGCAGTGTCCTTCATATTATATTGCGTTGCACAACCACCCCTCTACCCCATTTCTTTCAAATTATGTTCCTGAGGCGTCGTCATAGCTATTCATTTTTTTACCTGTTTATATCCACTTTGATTGTAATTGTTAAATTGTAAAAAAACAAAACAGTTTTTATTATTATCTTGCTTTAAGTAAAGTTGGCATGATTGTTTTGGGATTTGCTTTAAAAATGTCAGTGCAGTTTTAAAATACCAGGTTCACAAAAAAAGGCCGAACTCCTATAGATTTGAGACAACATTCAAAATAAACATAGCTTTACATTCATTACAAATACATAGAATGTCTTGTTTGGTGATCTATGGTCGAAACACACTCAGTACAAAGCAATTGATGCAAGAGAGGTGATGTCCAGTCCATAATGTTCATGGCAACTAACCATGTAATTCATTTACCCTGGTTTGTATCTAATGGTGCACCTACATGTCCATTTTATGTTTAAGTGCATAGAGACCCTCCTAAAATACCAGATCCATTAACATGACATTTGTAGATTGGCAGGGCTCCAAATAGCAGATCAGTAGGCAAAACCGTTTTTGATAGGCTTCAGCCACTTTAATGCACCACTATCGGCCATATTGTTTAAGTCTACCCAGTTCTAGTCTCAAACTGCGTCACTGGTCATAGCAAATTATCCACACGTTCCCAAGGTGGACACTCATAAAGGACGTCTTCGGTATAGCCACTGTCACTGTACCACTGATCAACTACTGGCTCCTCAGTCACTTCTTCCCAAGATGGCTGGTTGTCTGAAGGCAAGAACCAAGAGCTGTCCATTCTTGGAGCCTCCTGGTGGGCTACTTCTAGTCCATGAGAACCTTGGACAGAAGAATTCATAGCATTAACTGCATTTTCTCCCTCCCACCACATAGATATTAAGGCTGTCTGTATATCAAGATCATCAAAATTGCTGCCATATTGAGGATCCTCTTGAACAAAAATGGCGTCTCCATGTCGTTCTGGGACTCTCAGTGCTGGCAAAACCGGACTGGGTTTCTCGTGTCTGTGAGGTTCTTTGTATGAACAAGAGATCTGTTGTAGACGGTGCTTACCGGGCCTGGAAACTGTCTGGTATGGGTGGTGGGTGGATATTTTATTACTCCTCGAAACATCTTGGTGAGAAGAAGGCATTCTCCTCCTCTTCAGTACCCCATTCACAAACATGTGTGCGTAATGAGGATCCAGCTGCCAGAAGCCTCCTTTTCCAGGCTCGTCCTTCCCCCGGGGAACCTTCATGAAGCATTTATTCAGGGAGAGATTATGGCGGATGGAGTTCTGAAACACAAAATGCAATAAACGTTTTTATTTCATGTCTGATATCCAAAATATATATATTTTTGTATTTATTGTGAGCATGTCTATCGAACAGACTATAGTCAGTAATGTGTGGGTCCTGCTGGTATTCAGTATAGTGCTGGTTTGATAAATATGTGACTCTCAGTTAAGTATTGGCTACAACAGTGTTGGCCAATAGCTAGCAAAGCAACCTGGGAGATACTGGACAACATGAACGGGAGACATCGTGATGGAAATGATGGATTTGCAAAGCATCATGGGAGATATTATTAAATATCTGGATAACTTCTTGCCGAGGAGTATAGACTGGCAATGCATCATGGGAAATATTATTAAGCAGCAGCTGGATTACTTCCTGCTGGAGATTATAGACTGGAAATGCATCATGGGAGATATTATTAAGCATCAGCTGGATTACTTCCTGCTGGAGATTATAGACTGGCAATGCATCATGGGAGATATTATTATGCATCAGCTGGATTACTACTTGTTGGGGATTATAGACTTTCATATTATTAAACAACAGCTGGAACTGACTATGTATAGCAAACTGAGGGGTGGTTAAAGTATACCAAAATTCACTGAATACAACAAAATCATACATAGAAAAAAAAAAAAACAATTTAAATTTTAATCAGTGGCTTCATGGTGTTTTTTTTAGTAAGAGTTTAGACTTCCTACCCCGGGGAAATTGGTATAAACTGGGACCCATCTTGCCATCCTCTGGTATCTGTTTCCTGCTTGGACAATGTACGCCATTATGCAGCTGTCTACGAGCTCACTCAGAGAGCATATGTTTGGCTATAGACAGACACCTGACTGAAGAGACTTCAAATTAATATTTCAAAGAGTTGCAGGAGAGGAATCCCAGATCATATGTTTAAATGGAATAGGTCCCGTCACTTCTCTGTTAGACAAATAAAAGAGAAGGCCTCATGTCTTCCGAGAAGCAGGACGAGCACAGATAAAAGAAAGACTGTGCTCTTTTAAATACACAATATGTCTTAAATTTCCGCCAACACTCAGATACAAAAAGGCCTCCTCCATCTATCCTGTAAATAATATGACCCCTTCAAATCAGTCTACACACTGACAGAAAATGCAGTTTCCACCACTGATATAAAGACAAAAGTATCCCTAAGCCATTCATATAGACAGACAGGAACAAATATGTCAAATAAAGTGAGGGTTAATCACTTAATTCTCAATTCTAAGGGAAATTCAAACCGTATTGGCACAATTTAGTCTTGATAGCTGATCTGGAAAATATTCTCCAACTCAGTTATAGTAAGAGCTCGGCTATTTTAGCCTTAATTTGCCATTTGGGTTTTAATTCTCTACAAATCTGAATTTAAATAAATAAATAGGTGAATAACCCCTACGGATTGGTAGAATATATATTGAAAACATCATCTTATGCACAAAAAATCCTTAAATTGAATAAACTCACCTGCCAGCTTGGGTCAGCGTATTGGTAATAACAGAAATTCTGGGTGATCCAGTTGTAAATGGCCGAGAGGGTGAGTTTGCGCTGCTGGCTGGCCTCCATGGCCATGCAAATAAGGGTGGCATAGGAATATGGCGGCTTGATGTGAGGGTTGGTTCTATAATCCACTTCCTGGGCAGGGCTGGGGCATGATGTGGGCAAGGAGGGCCATGCAGTAGTGCCCGTGACAGACCTCGGCTTTCCTACCTGTTGACCCTGGCATGTAGCCGTGTCCCCTGCGGTTGGGCTGCATGGGCCCTGTGACGCCCGTGGGGGAGGTGGGTATATTGTAGCAATGGAAGACAAGTCTGTACTCAGGATCGAGAAGTCTGTAAGCCACTGGAGGTTGGTGAGACTGTCATCTTCGCGCAAGCACTCCCCTGCCACAGGATTTTGGTGTTGGTAGGACGTTGAAAGGACTGGCATTATTCCAGCGTGGCAAGGCTGGTGATGTACAGATCCTGTGGGGGGTCAAGAATGACAACTTTTTACAAACTTACACAAAATACACAAACAGCCCCAAAATAAAATAAAATAACTGGGGATATGTTAGAGTGAAATGGGTATTGTTACAATAGTGATGCCTAGCAAATTTTGGTGATGTTGACACTATTTAAGCAATATTGTCCTGTATATCATGTATATAACCAAGGGGAAAATCATACACAGCCCCAGACAGCCATATTTACCATGCAGGCCTCAAGCCGTGCATTAATTGAATGGCCTTACTGTAGACACCACGTAGCACACTGTTCAATGTTATGTAAATTTACGTCAGGCTTCTACACCCCGAGGGCCTAAAGTTATTTTTTGCTTTAAAATACCATTAGCTACAGGTGGTCTGCGGCAGACGTTTTGCTTTTCAAATAAAGATTACACTATTACGGTTGTCCACTGAATTGTAAATGGCTGTGATTTCTAAGTGATTTTTAAATATTAGGCCAAATTAGGAAAATAAAGTAATGTCCCCATACAAGCTATATTTGCAATGTGGCTATCTAGGACTATAATCTTAAATTCACTCTGAATTTCCAGCAAATCACGCTGGAATGGCTGTTCGTACACAATGATCTCCACTGGTTTGCGCAGCACGCTTTGCAGTGGATTTGTACAAGGCTCTGCAGAGCGTGTTTGCCTTTTGGTCCTCATTTAGCTGCCTCTTCCCTAATGACTGTAAATATAGCGAGATTATTGTCCCAAGTGGGCCTTGTCACAGCACCGTCACCTCCCACAGGACCTCGCCCCAGAGACTGTTTGTTCTAACGTGTTCAGAACAAATAGCGCATTTTCCTACTGACAGCGAGCCTTCCACACTTGGACACTCGAGAATTGTTCTTACGTCCAGATAGTAACTGTTTCATCGGCTGTGGACAGAACTGCAATCAAACCACCATGATCTCTACAGCCTTTCTAAGCCTGTCCTGATAACATGCAGTCAGATCCCCTACATTAGATATAAACCCAGCACTGACTGAGCCTGTCCTGATAACGTGCAGTCAGATCCCCTACATTAGATATAAACCCAGTGCTGTCTGAGCCTGTCCTGATAATGTCCAGTCTGATCTCTTACATTAGATATAAACCCAGCGCTGACTGAGCCTGTCCTGATAACGTGCAGTCAGATCCCCTACATTAGATATAAACCCAGTGCTGACTGAGCCTGTCCTGATAATGTCCAGTCTGATCTCTTACATTAGATATAAACCCAGCGCTGACTGAGCCTGTCCTGATAACGTGCAGTCAGATCCCCTACATTAGATATAAACCCAGCACTGTCTGAGCCTGTCCTGATAACATGCAGTCAGATCCCCTACATTAGATATAAACCCAGTGCTGACCGAGCCTGTCCTGATAATGTCCAGTCTGATCTCTTACATTAGATATAAACCCAGTGCTGACTGAGCCTGTCCTGATAAAATGCAGGCAGATCCCCTACATTAGATATAAACCCAGCGCTAACTGAGCCTGTCCTGATAATGTCCAGTTAGATCCTTTACATTTTATATTAACACAGCGCTGTCTGAGTCTGTCCTGATAATGTCCAGTTAGATCCTTTACATTTTATATTAACCCAGCGCTGTCTGAGCCTGTCCTGATAATGTCCAGTTAGATCCCCTACATTATGTATAAACCCAGCACTGTCTGAGCCTGTCCTGATAATGTTCAACATTTACAAGACCTGTCTTAACCAGGATATCACCTGCACTATCTGAAAGCTTTCCGTTGCACCTGTACCTTACCATGGGGTGACCTGACAGTGTCCCTCTGGTGGATGTGATTCAGTCCAGGAGATCAGTTACAATGTGTACAGTCTGCTAGCAATATGATCAGGATTGTCAGCCCTAAGACCCCTTGTACTCAGAGAGCCTCCAGGAAGGTTCATGCACCTGCTGAGACTCCACTAAGGTCCAAATCAGTCCTCTCACACAGATGATTTTTAGATTATGAGTTGCCAAAAGGTAGATCACCAGCTGTTGTAGAACTGCAAATCCCATGATGCTTAGCCAGTTAGAAGCTGGGCATCTAATGTCCACTCCAGATTGACAGTAAGTGAGGAGTTTCTATGCTTTATGATGTATCTACGTACTGCCCTCACTGCACCTCTCCTATACTGCAATACAACATGTAAAGCGCCGAGTACACTAACACAAACATACATAAACACTGATACATTATTTCATACATTAAAGTACTGTTTTTATATTAAATAATAGTCACACTAAAATGGGGCGTGTTAATAATTATAAAGAATGAAAGGTTGTTGTAATAATAATATAATAAATTATAAACTGTATCCTTCTCAGTTATATTCACAAGACAGCAGAAAATCTGTTTAACGTTTAAAAATATCTACAACAAAAACAAAGAAATATCTACTGCTAATAACAATAATAAGAAATATAATAATAATAATATTAAATATTTTTATAAATGAGACTATCTCAAGTCTCCAGTGTGGCTTATTTCCCCCCAGTTTAGTTGTAAATACTGAATGCTAGTTGATAGAGATGTAGAAGTAGTATATAAAGTCTACCTGAATAAAGTGTGAGCTTGCTCTGTGATGTGGGGTCCTGTGCAATGCTGCTCTCTCTGCATGTAACACTGTCAGCCCAGCTCCCAGGGGACCCCAGCCCTTTAAACAGAACTCTGGCCTCTGATTGGCTGCTGGTTGCCTGGCATTATTTAGCTCAGTGAGCCAATGAGGGCTTCTATCCTCTGTGTCTGTTAAAAGGCTTGTCAGCCTTGCCCCTCCTCTGCCCTGGGGCACACTAACAGCCAGTCATCCCCCCTCCCTCCCTCCCTCCCTCCCAGATTGCTGGTCTGGGAGTATATTGCTGGACCTGAGCTGAAACAGCAGGCAGGAAAGGGTTTTCCCCTGGAATGGTTACTAGCAGTGTGCCTTGCATGGGGAGTTACACACACTGAGATAGAGGATTTACAGGGACAGTAAAACCTGTTACTGTTACATTGTTACTGTTACATTGTTACTGTAAACTGTGATTACAGAGACCACCAGCACTAAGCAATGGTGGGCTGATTCAAAGCAGAGCACCCAGCTGCCCCTGAGTGGTGGTTTCTGGCCCCCATTGTGTCCTGCTAGATTTAGTCTCTGGTGTCCCACATTTGTGCTCAGTAAGGTCAGTGCTGGTCAATCTGTACATAAACAAACAGGACTTTGGGATTTCCTGTCCATACAGGAGTGTTTTAGCAGCTCCCCGTACAGAGGGACTGACCAGCATGACCGCTGGATAGCCTGCTATGGAGGCTGGCACGCTGTGTGTGGTCCACTGAGTTAGACTAGCAGGACTGCTGGTACAGGATGGTGTGTATGCCAACCTCAGCCACGTGCAACTGTCTGCCACCACTCTGTTCTGCTTGTATACCTCCCTATAGTGGGAGACATGTTAGATGGAGTCTATAGAGGGGAGCGACCTACTGTAAAGTCATGTCAGATGGAGTCTATAGAGGGATCGACATACTGTAAAGTCATGTCAGATGGAGTCTATAGAGGGGAGCGATATACTGTATAGTCATTTCAGACTGAGCCTATAGAGGGGAGCGACATACTGTAAAGTCATGTCAGATGGAGTCTATAGAGGGGGGCGACATACTGTATAGTCATTTCAGATGGAGTCTATAGAGGGGAGCAACAAACTGCAACAAACTGTAAAGTCATGTCAGATGGAGTCTATAGAGGGGAGAGGCATACTGTAAAGTCATGTCAGATGGAGTCTATAGAGGGGGGCGACATACTGTAAAGTCATGTCAGATGGAGTCTATAGGGGGGAGCGACCTACTGTAAAGTCATGTCAGATGGAGTCTATAGAGGGGGGCGACATACTGTAAAGTCATGTCAGATGGAGTCTATAGAGGGGGGCGACATACTGTAAAGTCATGTCAGATGGAGTCTATAGAGGGGAGAGGCATACTGTAAAGTCATGTCAGATGGAGTCTATAGAGGGGGCGACATACTGTATAGTCATTTCAGATGGAGTCTATAGAGGGGGCGACATACTGTAAAGTCATTTCAGATGGAGTCTATAGAGGGGAGCAACAAACTGTAAAGTCATGTCAGATGGAGTCTATAGAGGGGAGCGACATACTGTAAAGTCATGTCAGATGGAGTCTATAGAGGGGGGCTTACATACTGTAAAGTCATGTCAGATGGAGTCTATAGGGGAGCGACTACTGTAAAGTCAGGTCAGATGGAGTCTATAGAGGGGGGCGACATACTGTAAAGTCATGTCAGATGGAGTCTATAGAGGGGGGCGACATACTGTAAAGTCAAAGTCAGATGGAGTCTATAGATAGAGGGGGCACATACTGTAAAGTCACGTCAGATGGAGTCTATAGAGGGGGGCTTACATACCAAAAAGTCATGTCAGATGGAGTCTAGAGGGAGAGGCATACTGTAAAGTCATGTCAGATGGAGTCTATAGAGGGGCGACATACTGTATAGTCATTTCAGATGGAGTCTATAGAGGGGGCTTACATACTGTAAAGTCATTTCAGATGGAGTCTATAGAGGGGAGCAACAACTGTAAAGTCATGTCAGATGGAGTCTATAGAGGGGAGCGACATACTGTAAAGTCATGTCAGATGGAGTCTATAGAGGGGGCGACATACTGTAAAGTCATGTCAGATGGAGTCTATAGAGGGATCGACCTACTGTAAAGTAATGTCAGATGGAGTCTATAGAGGGGGCGACATACTGTATAGTCATTTCAGATGGAGTCTATAGAGGGGGGCGACATACTGTAAAGTCATGTCAGATGGAGTCTATAGAGGGGAGCAACAAACTGTAAAGTCGTGTCAGATGGAGTCTATAGAGGGGAGCAACAAACTGTAAAGTCGTGTCAGATGGAGTCTATAGAGGGGAGCAACAAACTGTAAAGTCATGTCAGATGGAGTCTATAGAGGGGGGCGACAAACTGTAAAGTCGTGTCAGATGGAGTCTATAGAGGGGAGCAACAAACTGTAAAGTCGTGTCAGATGGAGTCTATAGAGGGGAGCAACAAACTGTAAAGTCATGTCAGATGGAGTCTATAGAGGGGAGAGACATACTGTAAAGTCGTGTCAGATGGAGTCTATAGAGGGGGGCGACATACTGTAAAGTCATGTCAGATGGAGTCTATAGAGGGGGGCGACATACTGTAAAGTCATGTCAGATGGAGTCTATAGAGGGGGGCGACATACTGTAAAGTCATGTCAGATGGAGTCTATAGAGGGGAGCAACAAACTGTAAAGTCGTGTCAGATGGAGTCTATAGAGGGGAGCAACAAACTGTAAAGTCATGTCAGATGGAGTCTATAGAGGGGGGCGACAAACTGTAAAGTCGTGTCAGATGGAGTCTATAGAGGGGAGCAACAAACTGTAAAGTCATGTCAGATGGAGTCTATAGAGGGGAGAGGCATACTGTAAAGTCGTGTCAGATGGAGTCCATAGAGGGGGGCGACATACTGTAAAGTCATGTCAGATGGAGTCTATAGAGGGGGGCGACATACTGTAAAGTCATGTCAGATGGAGTCTATAGAGGGGGGTGACATACTGTAAAGTCATGTCAGATGGAGTCTATAGAGGGGAGCAACAAACTGTAAAGTCGTGTCAGATGGAGTCTATAGAGGGGAGCAACAAACTGTAAAGTCGTGTCAGATGGAGTCTATAGAGGGGAGCAACAAACTGTAAAGTCATGTCAGATGGAGTCTATAGAGGGGAGCAACAAACTGTAAAGTCGTGTCAGATGGAGTCTATAGAGGGGAGCAACAAACTGTAAAGTCATGTCAGATGGAGTCTATAGAGGGGAGAGGCATACTGTAAAGTCGTGTCAGATGGAGTCCATAGAGGGGGGCGACATACTGTAAAGTCATGTCAGATGGAGTCTATAGAGGGGGGCGACATACTGTAAAGTCATGTCAGATGGAGTCTATAGAGGGGGGTGACATACTGTAAAGTCATGTCAGATGGAGTCTATAGAGGGATCGACATACTGTAAAGTCATGTCAGATGGAGTCTATAGAGGGGAGCGACATACTGTAAAGTCATGTCAGATGGAGTCTATAGAGGGGAGCGACATACTGTAAAGTCATGTCAGGTGGAGTCTATAGAGGGATCGACATACTGTAAAGGAGTGTCAGATAGCGTCCATAGAGTTTCTACAAAACTGCCATGATTTACATTGGAGACCTAAGTGGGACTGGGACACTGCATTTTCTATATTGTCCCTTTAAGCATAGTGAAATTATCCAAATCAACTATTTTTGTTCTCTACAAGCGCAGTTTGTAAATGTCCCCTCTCCCCTCCGAAGTTGAGAACGCATTAGTGATAACTAGTCAAGTGTGCTATAGTAACTAATTTATTGTACGCAGGGGCCAGGATTGATAGAAAGTTGTTCTAAGAAATCTGGAACTCACTGAAAGAGCTAGTGGCCAATTTTTGGTAACAAACTATTGGTATAATTAGTAGTCCTGGCAGGTAGAACTTGGCCGAGCTGAGCTCAGTGTTGAAGCTCGTGACAGAAGACACATCAATCCAGAGCCGGTAATTGAGACATTTTTTACCACTAGATTTTTTTCCCCTCTGCATTTTAATCTAATTTGAGTTTAAGTATTCTTAGAACATCTTTCTCCCCCCCCCCCCACCATTTATTATTATTATAAGATGTGCACATTTTTAGCGTTGCTCTGATATTTAACAGACTTTGAGCGCCACCTAGTGGTTTGAAGGAACACTCCATTAAAAATTGCATTTCACACATTCAGTCAGAGGCTTCTCATTGTGGACTTAAACTCTGTGAAACTCCAGGAGGCGCCTCTATTGGCTGTCTGGGAGACCGTAGCTGTAATATTGATCTGTTAAAAGTAGACGATGTTTCATTAATTACATTGTTTTTTGTTCTACCATTCCAGTTTTCTTCCTTTCCGTATTATTATCTCTTTCTCTATTTCCTTCTGTCTTTCTCATCCTTTGTCACGTATTCCCTCCCTTTCTCTTCTTTCTTCCTTTCTCTGCCCCATCAGCTGCTGTGAAATATATATACAGACAGTGTCAGAAGGGGTGACAAAGAACCTTTCTCCGTACTATAGAAGAGAACTCCCACCATGCTTAGCAAATATCTGACATCGCTCGATTAGAGTTGTTGATGCCATCACTAATTATAGACGAACCCCTGATTTTACCCACGGAGCTCTGGAAATAACATTTCTTTAGATGTCTCAGTGTGTAACGGTTAAAGAATGACAGACGATAACATCTAATGCAGGGATGCCCAAAAGGGAGATCAGCAGGTGTTTTCAAACTACAGCTTCCATGATGCTTTGTCATTATAAAGGCAAGCAAAGCACCGAAGCACGCAGATAAGTGACTGAAGGGGCCTTGACAAAACGAGTTTGTTTTCCGGGCACTATAGTTTCCCTTTAAATCACTTTGTTTCTGTTTATGCAGCTCTAGACACACCTCCCCGGCTGTGACTGACACAGTCTGCAGGAAAACTAAATGGTTTTATGTTCATTCAGATGCAACATACTTTAAACGTTTTTTGTAAAGTGAACTTTAATTTCATACAGGGGGCTTCTAAAGGGTCTAGAAAACTATTAGCAGAGCAGGAGCTAAGAAATTCTAAATTAAACAGAATTGTAATAAAGGAAGTCTAAACATTAGATGAGTGTTTACAGGAAGTGTTAAAGGAAGCTGTGCAAGTCACATGCAGGAAGGTGTGACTAGAGCTGTTTAAGCAAAGTGATTCAATTGCATAAATGTGAAGGACCTTGGGTTCTGGGTCAAAATTTCTTTAATTTGTCCATTAGATTTTGATATTGGACAACAGTGGAAGGGTCTGTGAGTAATTTTAGAGAGTAGTTTTAGAAATAGTTTGAACATTGCGAAACTATTCAATGAAAACCATTTGACAAGAAATAGGAGAACCGAGAAATGGTTTCTACGTAACCATCGCTGATTAAGGAATATATTTGTGTAAAGTCATTTACAGCCAAGACAGAGAAATGAAAATGATTCAATTACGTATTTAAAGTGAGCGTTTATTAAATATTTGGCTGGAATCAGGTCATGTATTATAAAGCTCATATCATATCTTATAGCAGAAATAAATAAATAAAAATATTTTGTATCTACATAGCTTTTGGATACTCTGGGTTCGATCATTCTATGAGGACTTTGTGCTTTTCGAAGAGCAGCCGAAGAGTGGAACTGGATTGTGTATCCGTGGACTAGGACTGTAAAAGGACACAATAAACCATAACGGAATTAATTGTTTTGTTATATATTTTCCAAAGCTTCTCCTTCCAACTTAAAGAATTGAGTGATGTTACCTGGTTCAGCAGTAGGAGGTCTCTATATATACAATTCAGATGAATGCTGATGGAATCTAGAAAACCCAAATAAAGGGATCCCCCCGGCACCATAACAACTTTATTGGAATTAAATTGTTATGCTGCCAGAAGGTCCTTGGAGCCGAATTACCCTTAGGGGTTAAACCGTTCATGAACGATTTAACCCCAAAGTCTTCTCTCCAGCGCTGTTTAGCTCTGCCCCTGTCCTTCCAATTCCGTGAGTTTCTTCAAACAGGAAGCCTCGGATGTACCTATATTTCTCAAGGCATTTTATGAACGGGGAGCTTCTGATTGGCTCTAAGCGTCAGCTGACGCACTCAACCAATCTGCGGTGCCCCTGTCCCAAGCAGTCCGAGGCTTCCTGTTTGAAGAATCTCAGAGATTCTTCTATATTACCTAAGGTACATAACACAAAGCAGGCATGGCTTATGTAATTTTCGTACGCCTGAGAAAACTGGACAAAAGATGGAACTACCTTTGTCCAGTTTTGTCATTTCTTCCAGCCATCACCACTATTGCTTTGTCTATGAAGGCTCCCATTATCTTGTGGAATCCACCATAGACAGTGTTATACTCCCGCACGTGCATGATTGTACAGCACTGACGCAGCTCTGAAGAGGACCCACTGAATGTTGATGATTGCTCTGTTACTATAGGAAGATCTGTGGGTTTCTTCTTATAATCCTTAGAAAAATTACTTATGATGGGTTCTAGGAGGAAGAAACACAACATGACTCCATTACATCCCTCCACTCAACACAGAGAAAACAGTCAATCATAGTAAGTGTCCCAGTACAACACTTCCGACCTGTATGTTCCGCATACGCACATTTCGTTCCATAGCCAATCAAATCTAATAGGATAAACAAGCCTTACTTGATGACAGTCACAGTACAGAGTACATTGTATCTCTAGGATCGGAACTATTAGTGTAGGAACATAAATGCAATATTTATTGCATACAGTTAAATAAAAATTGCGTACAGTAAAAATTGCCACAAAAGGCATGGGGAATTCTTACAAAACCTGGTGACATTTTTAGAAAAATAAAAAAACAACCAGAAGCCACTAGGTGGAGCTAGAGTGCAAGTAGTTTTGCAAAGACTACCCCTGTACATGTAGCATTTGTAAAATAAATAGAAAAAAATAATCAGCATGGTATTTTTCATGATGCTCTAGTGACCAGGCTTCCCCAAACTCCGGGTCCCCAGATGTTGCTGAACTACAACTCCCATGATTCTATGAATGAAATAGATAAGCTGAGAATCATGGGAGTTGTAGTTCAGCAACATCTGGAGGCCCGGAGTTTGGGGAAGCCTGCGCCTAGTCTAACAGATACATTGTTTCATGCCTCTTCATGGACTTTTAACATTAGGTGACTTTTCCACCATATTTAGCAAATATGTATTTATTAAGCGTGAAAAAGAAAATTAAATGTAGAAAGTGAACACAAATTGTCCTGGAACTGGGCCTCCATCAATCATTGTACTAAGATCGGTCCTTTATATTTAACATAGAGAAGGTATATAGAGAAGAGGAGAAAATAAACAATGTTATTTACTAAAGTGAGAATTATCAGGAATGTAAAGGAAATTCAAAGTGAATTCCAAGTTTAAGGCCAAAGTAGTCAATCTGGAGACATGCTCTAAGATCCTCAAATCAACGATGCTTCCAGCTCAGCTACTTTGGTCTGAAATGTAATATTCACCTTAAATTCCCAATAATATTATGTAACAATTACCGTTAAACTAAATACCGTTATTTCATATTTAAGCGGCTATATGGTACCACTTCCTTGGACATTATTATTAATTGGCTAATTTACATTTTAATTTGCCGTCTGGACTAAAATAGTTATTTAAGAAGATTTAGATTAAGTAGAAGGACTTTCTAGTATTTTTACTTTTATATTGTATTTTTTTTTCTCATCAAATCCACCATTTTAAGTTCACCTACTATATTGTTGTTTTAATAGTTAGAGATTCAAATTTTACAGATTTTAAAGTGTTTTATTTGACCGACATCCCAGCTCCTTGCCAGGTTTTTACTTTGTGTATTTATTACGATTTTTATCATAAGAGTTTTATGGTGACTCTTTGTATTAGCGGTATTTAGGCGATAACTTCCTGTTTCTCTTCCTAGATAGGATATTTTTTTCCATTTTGGTTTGTTTGGTATTAGGGTGTACATGTTTGTGTTCCCAATGCTAGAATGCTAGAATGTTCCTTTAATAAACATAATTAGATGTAGAGAAAGGGGGAAACATGAAAAAAAAAGCAAACATGGGAAATGTGGGAAGTCGTGTGATTAAAAATTGATAAACGGCATGTTTGAGTTATTGGAGAAGGGGCACTAAGGCTGCATACCGCCACGTGGCTCAGCATATGTCCTCTGGTTTAATGCAGCTGTCAACTGGTCGGTAAAAGAGGAGGAATGTCTTGGGGTCATGTAGGCTTTATCTAGGAAGAATTCTGGATACAGGTTCACCACCTCCTTCTGAAATGCTTGTAGTTTTGGAGACAGCCACCAGGAATGACCTTGAAGAGTATAGTTGTTCCAACTTAGGACAGTGGACACACTATGTATTTAGTAGAGTGTGCGTTACATCCTATGATCATAGTATCATGAAGACCTGCAATAAAGAGGTGGCCAATAGATAGATCTGATTTAGAAATACCATCCATGATGCACTACCAACCCTAAAGGTGACAACAGATCATGGGAGTCGAGGACCCTGCTCAAAGGAGCTTACAGTCTACATCAGGGCTGCCCAACAGGGAGATCATATTGTGGTAGAACTACAACTCCCATGATGCTTTGCATGCCTTTAGAACGACAAAGCATCTTGGGAGTTGTAGTTTCTCAACATCTGGGGATCTGCCTATTGGGCAGGCCTATTGTCCCTGTATCATTTTGTAATTTTCTCATTTATGGTTAAATCCCTCCTTTCATAATATTGTAAAATGCTGTGGAATAAGTTGACACTTTATAAATACTTATAATAATAATAATACCACCTTCTGGCCATGCTTATTCTAGACAATGGCAAGCGTGGATGGGCCCTTCCATTGACAGATATTACTGTAAGCTTTCAAGGTTTTCAAAAATGTACCAAGGTCTGAACTGATACTCTACCAGCATGTCTGTGATTTAATTAAAATGCTTTGCTTGCTAAATTGTTAATTTATGATAATTTATGTTAATTCTATCATTAGGAGAGCAGATAGGGCAATCTACCGCTCTGATCGGCTCAACCGGACAGTTTGCTGTCTCCCGGGTGCTCAGGTCCGGCATGTTGCTGACAGAGTGGATGGATTATTGGGAGGGGCTGGGGATGACCCAGCGGTCATGGTCCATGTTGGTACCAATGACAAAGTAAGAGGAAGATGGAAGGTCCTAAAGAATGATTTCAGGGAATTAGGTAGCAAACTTAAGAAAAGGACCTCCAAGGTGGTATTCTCTGAGATATTACCTGTGCCACGCGCTACAGTGGAAAGGCAGCGGGAGATTAGAGAGGTCAATGCGTGGCTTAAGTCTTGGTGCAGGAAGGAGGGTTTTGGGTTTTTAGAGCACTGGGCCGACTTTGCGATTGGGTACAACCTTTATAGTAGTGATGGATTGCACCTAAACGGGAGAGGGTCTGCAGTGCTGGGGGATAGGATGGCTAGAAGGTTGGAGGAGATTTTAAACTAGTAGTAGGGGGGGAGGGTCATAGCAATCTACAAAATGGAGATAGGACAGAAAGGAGATGGGCTTTAGCACAGTATAAGGGGGGTGGAGACGGGGGGAGGGGCAAGCTCAGAACAGAGAAGCTATGTAATGTTGATAATTCACAAAATATACAAGTGACACATGATATTAAATGTATGCTTACTAATGCAAGGAGCCTAAATAACAAAATGGGGGAACTAGAGGGATTAGCATATACTAAACAATATGATATAATAGGCATAACTGAAACATGGTGGGATGAGACACATGACTGGGCAGCTAACTTAAATGGGTACATGTTATTTAGGAAGGATAGGAAAAACAAGAAGGGTGGTGGGGTATGTTTGTATGTCAACCATGATTTAAAGCCAAATGTTAAGCAAATGGAATGCGAGGAGGATAATGTGGAAGCTTTATGGGTAAATATCTGCTTGGGGGAAAAGAAGGGAAACCAACTATTGGTTGGGATATGTTATAAACCACCTAATGTTAATATTGACGAGGAACAACAGCTGTTTGAGCAAATTGAGAAAGCTGCAAATCTGGGTAACACTTTAATTATTGGAGATTTTAATTACCCGGACATAAATTGGGACAGAGGGACTAGTACCTCAGCAAAGGGAATTAGGTTTTTAAACTTGTTAAATGACACCTTCATGTCACAACTTGTACAAGCACCAACTAGAATGGATGCTTGTCTGGACCTGGTTTTAACAAACAACATTGATCTTTTAACCAACATTCAAGTAGGTGAGCACTTGGGAAATAGTGATCAAAATATAGTGTCCTTTGAAATAAACTCAAAAAA